AAGATCCGAGACTCGCCCCTCCAGCCAGTCGAAATCAGAGACTCACCCCAGCCAGTCAACATGAGAGACTCATCCCAGGCAGTCAAGACCAACGACCGGGAGAGAAGCAGCCACACTCCGTCTGGAATTCAACAACAGGACTCAGCCAACCAAATCCAGCGAGGACCAGCCGTTGCGACCAATCGAGCCAAGTCAGAGGCCGAGAGAAGACATACTGTGAACACCGATCGTGGCGAGCATCGTTTGGGGTAAGTCCCTTTGTTGATAGACTCATCCCAGATTTAGAGTTGTGGCTGACTTGTAGATTAATTAATTAGCAATTAGGGTACTGTTAAGAGAAGTGTGTACAATAAATGTTACTGAATACTGTCTCTGGTTTATTGAATTCTGGAACCTTACCTTCCCCTACACAAGAATAAGTAGCGACGCGCTTACGCCGACTAATCTCTTGTCGTTTATAGAAAAGCAAGCGAATATCGAGAGATTATTCGGCCGCCGCCCCGTCGACCGCTTACACTACGCCTGAAACTTGAACAACATTGTCCAGATGTCTTGCAGGACATCTTTCAATTTTGTACTTATTTGACAGCATTTGGGCCTTTTGAGTAAACATAACAGAATGCTTTCTTTTTCATATTACCTCATCCTATCTTACTTATCCGATCGATTCTTTTAGGCGAAGCACTTTTATCCCAGCAAAGCTGGTTTTCATCTAGGAGTTTGCTGGCACCACTATACAAGCTATACTGATCACCTTCCCAACAATTCCTTTCTATTCGTCATGACAATGCTATAGTCACTTCCACCACTATTCTGTCATTCCTGTTCCTTTGCATCAAATAGTAAAACCAAATCTCGCCCTATTGTTTGCACCCTAAACAAAAAACTTTACACCAGTTTTCCTTAACAACATTAAAAAGCCACGATAAATCTTGTACGTTAATTGTGATTAAACAAAGGTTAAACGCTCGACTAAAACGGTCATACTGGGTAAAGATGGACAATGATTAAAACGCTATTAGACACGCATTCTAAACTGACTCTACAAACAACGAATAACAAACAATCCGCAGCCTCCAAAAAAATGTGATCTGGATATGCATAACCAGGAACAACCTTCATTAATTTCCAACCAAAGTTTTAGTTTTCCTGACAACCCTTTACAATGCAGTCTTCAGAACATGCGTTTCTCCAGTCATCATCCAATATACAAACCACAAAGAAACCAACTCATTCCAGAAGCTTTTTATTGTCAAACAGCAAACCATATTAGCACTTTTAAACAAAGCTTGTCGTGTTGTAGATGCCATCACTGACGCTGTCTGGTCGACCATCTTTCATATGCCCGCTATGAAATCCATAAATCAGAATTGTGTTTTATACAGTTTCAAATAATAATAAAAGTGAAAAAAAATTCCTGGCCTTTGCCCGTGCCAAATTAGTCTGTTTACTGGAGGTTTCGGTTAATTAACAAATTGCCCTTTTATGGGTGGATTTGTCGCATATCCAGTTTTGAGTTTTTCTTTATCCAAGGTGTAATTTCAAATGGGATTGTGCCAATACAATTTATTTGTGTTTGAGATGTGTTTTGCAATTGGATAAACACGGTTTATCTGCCTATTTGCCTCGTTATTCCCTGGGACCGATGGTCCTGTCTGACAGGTTCAAACTCTGTCGTACACATAACCAATAGAAATTTTTATACTTGATATATTTAACGTCAACCATGTTGGAATTGATGGATTACTTCACATTAATTATAACTAAACTCCAAAGCAGACAATACATGTCTAATAAATTATACATTTTTTCTGTAGAAGCACATAAAATATTACTACATTGCTTATTTAAAACACGTACAAAAATGTTAATTTTACCATAATCCTCGAACAAATAACGAATTTATTAAGCCTAAGAGATAAAATAAAAATAATAAAAAATAACTTAATGATGGTAATTATGATTTCATTAGTTTAAAATGTATGTCTTTAGGTAAATAAATGTCAAAAATAAATTCTTCTTTTTATGTCTATTTGTTATTAATTTTTATAAACATCCAAACTCTTTAAGGGTTGTTTTCTTCTTCTTAGTAATTAACTAAAACCTCTTCCTTTAGACTTATTCATAAGGCATTCTTCCATTTCTCACATATACAGGGTCTATCTCATTTATATAGATATATTTCCTTCTAACTATTTAGTATTAATCATTCGCTATAATAACGTAAATGGAAAAGAGATATTCGAATCAAAAAAGGGGATTATTTGTTAGTATTTCTTAAAGAGATAATTAATAATTGTCTGAATCGTGGGTTCGAATCCCGCTCGTGCCATTGACTTTTTTATCTCAACTAAAAACCTTAATTAATTGTAGTATTTAAGAGTGACGAAGTGTCAACGGGTTTGAAACGATAGGGGTTGAAATGACCTGAAAAGAGCCCATCATCAGCGGCCGTGACCTGATATGATCGAGGTCTAACCCCGGACTGCCAACACCCGGGGCGGATGATTCTCGGGACCTGCCGGTAATTTATTGAAATTGCAAAATATAATAGTCCCTCGAATGCGTGAGTAGGCGAACGGAAACAGGTAGTTTTTTTTTAAACTTTTTATTTGTTTTTTACAACTGCATTCTTTGACGCAACAAGCAAAACAGATAGTATTTACATATAAAATTATTAACGGTAGCGTGAAACCTTGAACAATTAACATCCAGTGATGGTAGCCGTTCATCAATACGATGAGCGAGATGTACTCCATCGTAGGAGACCGATGTCAATTGTTAAGGTTGTCGCGTGGCCACCGACGCTTCAGTCTTCTGTTGGGATTAATGTGGTGGATGACAGGTTTTTGACGGAAGCGTCCGGATGATGGAGTAGTTTGGAATGGAACGTTTTGTAGCGGGATTGGACTAGCTCCGTAACAAAAGGGACATTTAGGTCGGTATGGATGGTGTGATTGGATACATAGAAAGGGGCTTGTACTATTGTTCTGAGGATTTTAGATTGAAGGGATTGGATTCGATTGAGGTTGGAACGCTTAGCAGTACCGTAAAGTTCAAGTCCGTATGTCAAATGAGGGCCAGGAGGGCAATGTAAAGTTTTCTTTTGTTTATAAGTGAGAGTCTTGATCGTCTGTCGAGCAGTCGTTTAAGCATGAAAAATCGTATATTACAGTCTGTGCGCTTAAGTCGTGTATGGGGGTTCCACGTCAGTCGTTTGTCCAGGTAGAGTCCGAGGTATCGTACATGGTTCGCAATTGGGATGGGAAGTTGTTGAGGTATACTGGTGGGAGTGTTTTCTTGTTTAGAGTAAATATTATGTTCGTTGATTTGGTTTCGTTGATCTTGATTCTCCACCGACGGAGCCAGCATTCTAGGGTGTTTAGGTGATTTCGAGGATTACAGGAAGCAGTGACAGGATCTTTATCAGGAGAAAGGATTGCGGTATCATCGGCAAAGGTGAAGGTGATAGTTTTAGGTTGCGTAGGTAGGACGGAGGTATAAATTGAATAAAGGAATGGAGCGAGCACGCTGCCTTGTGGGACACCTGAAAGAATAGGATGGATAGGAGACAATGGATTTTTGTGGGATACTTGGAAGTAACGACCGTTAAGATAGGATTTTAGGATAAGGTAATAGGTTGCTGGTAGGATGTTCTTGAGCTTCCACAGTAGCCCAGAATGCCATACTCGGTCAAAGGCTTGGTATATATCCAAGAACACACCCAGGCAATACTGTTTTAGCTCAAGGGATGTGGAAATAACGCCGATTATGCGATGTGCTTGTTGTACAGTTGAGTGGCAACTTCGAAAGCCGAATTGGTGATGGGGAATTGTGTTAAGAATTTCCTTGGTCAAGCGGTTCAATAGGAGTTTTTTTAGTATTTTGCCAATAATGGGCAAAAGACTGATGGGTCGGTAGGCGCTAGGAAGGTGATTTGTTTTCTTAGGTTTTGGGAGCATCCTGATAGAAGAAAATTTCCAACAAGTGGGGAAATGGGTTGTGCGTAGGACAGCGTTGAATAGGTAGGTTGTAAATTCAGGTAGTGAATCAGTTTCTCTGACTCGAGTATGCTTTGCATTGTTGTGCGTTTGACCGGCGTGGTACCCTTGGGGATGCGAAGGATCGGACCACCTAGGCTAAGCCTATGGCGTCCCTCGAATGCGCATAGCACGTGTAGGCTGAGCTCGATAAGAGATTTTTACCGTAGGCGGTGCTCATCTAGGATGTGGTTCGCAACGACTTTAAACAAAACCGCGGCCGGGGCGGACCCGGAAGTTTCTGCGCTGGGGAAGCCCCACTCTAGGGAGTGCACGGGAGAACAGGCTGATGTGTTTCGGCTTGTCAGCCCTTTGCGAGCGGCATAGGACCCGGTGCACAACCATTCCAGACCCGACCATTCGGAGAGGAGAAGCGGAGAGCGAGGTTTTCTTGGCCCTTAGGGGCTGGGGCGCCTCTACACCAATGCTGCGGCGGTAACACCAATCCGTCGTATGCGGAGGTGTATCAGCTGTCATATTGAGAATCAAAACGTCCGATAAGGCCGAATAGGCCAGGTGCGGACGTTAAAGATCCTCTAGTCTTGTGACGAAGAGTTCTCGGCAACCTCGTGTAATTGCAAAAGCAGGAATTTCCCGTAAGCTGAGAGAAGTGATAGCTTCAAATCTGTGTACGTGTGAATGTATGTACTTGCAGATTTGAATTTACATAAATAATTTGTTTTCATGGCCTTATGATCGATGCATATTAGCCAGGGGGGTATCGTGAAAATAGCCAGAGGCGACGGTGCGAATCGAACCCACGGCCGCGGGTCTATGAGCCGAGAGTGTCTCACGCTAACCACTCGGCTACCGCGGTCCGCCACTTTGGATTTATTTGAATATGATTTTAAATTTAAGCACCTTCACGGCCATTACCACAAATATTAGGCAAAACGAACTATACAGTACTTTCTCATCGGTGTTAATGAGTCGAAGATAAGAAATAAATGTAATACTCACAAGGGCGGCATTTATACGCGACGAGGACGTATTTCTGTACACCTGGGCACGGGTCTCCTCCGAAGGACTTAGTCGAAGTCTGAAACTTGCACTGCCTTTTCTTCTGGCACGCTTCGACTACAGTCTGCAGAAGAGAGTACTGAAAAAAATAAGAATTTTATTAACCAGTGATGTACTATTAAAACGTTGAAAAATAATCATTACGAACATTAAAGAGCTTTTTTCGTAATTAAAATGCACCTGATTCGTGATAACACGTATAATGTAAATATACTAAAAAGGTTGCATGTCGAAATAAAACAACAAAATAATTTTTTATGACCAGGGGCATCAGTATCTTATACCGAGGCCATTAGTGTATTTAATTATGTATGAGCGTGCGTAAGCATGCTTAAAAAAGTAAAACGCCAGATGGCAACGTATAAGAAAATTTTACTACACGGTACAGAGATCGATATCTCACGTGTCGTCAACTTAATGTAAAAAAAAAAAAAAATACAAATCATACGATATTTTATCACATTCATTTCCCTAGCAAACATTTTACAATGGAAAAGGCCAATAATGTTTATTTGTATTATTGAAGATTGACAAATTTTATTTGTGATAATTCAAAATATTTAATATCGTACATTATTTCATGTAAAATTAGAACAGTAAATAGTAGTAAATTAGTATAGTACAATATAACACTATTTTAAGGTTGCTGACTGTTGCACATGTAAACGGATTATCGTGATTTTGACCTTATATTTGTAAGTATATCTTTTTAAGCATAATCTTATTTCCACTATCAACTGTAAATCCCATATCTCCATCATTATGTGCCTTTAGCATCTTATAGTTTTTTTTTAATATAATTTACATTTGTTTTGTTTTGTAAAATTAATTTATATCGATGTAGAATACTTGTTGACTAGTTTGTTTGCTGGGGAATTAATTAGGTGGAGTTTGTTGACATAATCAGTCTTTTTTCTCTTTATATTTGTTGTAGTTGTATTTCAAAGAACACCGTTGCTTCTTTTCAATAGATTGAAAAGTTTCTGAGTGTGTTGGTCTAATTAATTTTTTTATTTATTTTCTAAACTCAAATTTTATTTACCACATATATCATGTTTGTGTTTCTAACTTTCTCTTATTTTGTCCTCTCTCTAGTTTTAACACATCCTCTCACACTTTTTCTCTGTGAATTCAGTTTTTTAAAAATTAATTTTATATATCCTACTTCCTTCTTTATGTCTATTTAGTTCGAACAAACTCTCTCCTTCTCACTCTCTCTCTCTCCCTCTCTCTCTCTCTCTCTCTCTCTCTCTCTCTCTCTCTCTCTCCCTTTCTCTCTTTAGCTCAATTTTTGCGTTATTACGTTATCTTATAGTTTGGTGTGGAATACATTTGAATCGACATATTTGTGTCTTTTTGTTTTTCTCTTTAAATCTCTCTTACTTAAATCAGTTACTTCCCTCCTTTTAAATGATTTTTTCCTGGTTTTGCTCTACTGTGAAACTTTATCACTTCACTTTATATGTCTGTCTGATAATTTCTCTCATCTTTTAACTCACTCTTCCTCAGTAATGCTACATTTTGGTATGTGTTTATTTATTTATTAACTCCATTACAGTTCGTGGTCCGATTAACCAGTTAACATTTTTCAATTAATTAATATGGATAAAAGGTATTGGTCAAGATTAAAAGTCAGTGTCACGAGCAGGATTCGAACCCACGACCTTCGGCTCAATACGCCGCTGCTCTACCACTTGAGCTTTCGTGTCTTCGATCCGCTCGGACATTATTTATTTATGTTTTACTTTAATTGAACACTATTTATTTGTAATTTACCTCACATTTCATTTTATATTCTCGTTTTATGCCTATCAACCTGTATCTATATTTTCCTTTATTCATTCTCTCTTGCGTCTTTCTCACTCACTCACTCACTCTCTCTCTCTCTCTCTCTCTCTCTCTCTCTCTCTCTTTATCTATCCATCTATATATCTACCTGTCTGTCTATCTATTTACTTATTTACGTATCTATCTATATATTTATCTATCTGTTTCTCTCTTTTAATTTTTTGTACGTGTATTCCTAGTTAGATATGTTGTAAGATATTCCTCTGTTCTTTTTTTATTTCTCTATTACATTTTAGATCAGAAAGCGCTATTCCACCCCCTCTCTCTACTTGTCTCTCTCTCTCCTTTTCTCTCTGTCTCTCTGTCTGTCTGTCTGTCTGTCTGTCTCTCTCTCTGTCTCTCTCTCTCTTTCTATCTATCTATCTATCAACCTGTCTGTCTGTCTCTCTCTCTCTCTCTCTCTCTCTCTCTCTCTCTCTCTCTCTCTCTCTCTCTACTTTCTCACTCTAGGGTAACTACAGCCCACTAGGCACCCCCTACAGCAGCATATGCTTTCTCGGAGTATCCCTTGCCTCTTGCAAAATCAATGCTGCTGCAGCCATTTTAGAGATTTTGTGGACGCATCTCGATTTCACATCGATCTCTTTTTTTTTAATTCGCTATTTTTTTAATTATGCGAAATGTATATATTTATCTCTTTTGGCTTTGTTAGAGAGTAAAACATAAGCCGGAACGATTATATCTTTGTATGTCAGACTGGTTTACCCCTGTCGGATCGATACGGGACCGGCTTTGAGAAAAAGCGTAAATTTCAATTCTGGACAGAGTGAGATACTGGTAGTGGGAAAAGGGCTTTTTAAGGGCGACGGCCTCCTCATGCGAATCGTGCACTTTCCTGTTTCTCCGACGGCGGTCGGGGGCGCGTGGCCTATTTGTAGTCGGTCACCGCAACGGCCATCCGAGGGCGAAACTTTACCAGTTTCGCTAACCGGTCCGTGCGTGGTCTCCCTTATCAAACTTTATATTGGTCAACAGACAAGGAAATATTAAAGGGTTCGCTGCATGAATTTTTAAACGCAAACAAACCCTCTTTGTCCCTTTTCCCTTCCGTTAGATCTCGCCCTTTCAACTTTTACACGTCCTTTACTTTTAACGATCTCCTTTTGTTTTCTCAAGCGAATTCTAAAATCCTATTGAACAAGATAAAATTATCAGAATACCGCTTATTTTTTATAATAAATAAATATGCACATGTCAGTTTAATTAAAAAAAGGAAATCTTTTTTAAGAAAAAGAAATTTTTAGAAATGATAAATGATGGAGTGAGTTTGGTGTTCAATACTTTTTAAAAGGATAGTTCCTACTCACAGTAAGTTGTTTTGCAACGATCCGGATTTCGAGCCTTTTAGCTCATCATCAGGTTGAAGGACTTCTACAACCACGTCTCTCGACATGAATTGCCAAAGAAATTTTTGTCCTTGAACACATATCACTCATTAAAAGACTTTTCCATTATATATACTCCTACTGAAAAATACTATTCCCAAATCGAGATTGTTGACCGAGTACCACTTCGTCCGATTTGGGTATAAAATTGTGGTCCCTACCCTTCGTTATTTTCATACCACTAATTTTACTGCAGTTCAGAAGTTATGGGGTTTATTTTTATTACTCTATTTCATAGCACATTTAATGATTTGCAGTCACATATTCCTGTTGCCGTAACTTAAAAGAATTAAAGAGAATCAGCCATGTGCATAATGAACAAACTCATAACCGTCAAACCCATTTTTCTACATTCATGTCCTTCTAGGAGTCAAACTTGCCAATCAAATATAAAAACATGTTATACAGATCAAATTTTTCCGCCTTGCCCCAAGCTCTAGTAGTCCAGTAGAAACGGAAAAATAACTGCGCTTAAATCACAAACGTCACATAAATTAAAGATGTGGTACAAGGAGAGCCAACACAATTCTTAAGCGATATAAAAAAAATTGTGTCGTTTCATCGGAGCTGGAACCAAAGGATTTAGATCAATTCAGCTAAAATAGCGAATAAACCTAGATTTTGTGACCGATCAATTTATTATCTGTTTAATCTTATTGCGCTAATAATTAGTGTTGCTATTTAATGGTGCGCAGTCTTTCTGGAATCATGATAAATGCGGTCTAAGAATTATTTTAAACTTTGAACAAAGCTATATATTTAATGTTCGATATTGAAATTTTACGACAATTATAAGTTCAGATCTCAGCGACCTCGAATTTGGTCCCAACCCCATTCAGAAAAGAGTTTCTTCTGTGGTAGAACACTGGCTACTGGTATACAGGGTGCCCAATTCAAAAAATGGTGCCAGGAATATAGTACAATAACATGTACAGCTGCAGGGCTCAGAGGGAAGGTTCCTAGTATCTATTGTAAAAGAAAAAAACACAAAAAAAACCACTAGAACTACCGTGAACCGTGAACGACATCAATAGTATTTTCACTTCTTCACAAGACTTGGTTTATGCTAAAATATTTGCCTTCCGAAAGCCAATCATCATAAATTTGGCAAAAAATATGACGGGTATCCAATTTCCTTTATTCCAAACCGCGGGAAGTTCTGAATAATGTAATTTGAGGGTTTTCGTTGGTTTTTGTATGGTGACAAGGGGCTCGTTTCGGGCGTTTTGTCTCCGAGTTTGGCTCAATTCCAAGTAGCAAGTGCCATCGACATCGCCGAGCTCACTTGAAACTGTACGAGCCACTTGCGACCCTTTTTGATCTCGAAAAGAGAACCAGGGTGTATTGTTTGATCGAGTTTCCCGGTTTTTAAAGGCAAGAGCGGAATGATGTTTCCTCTTTTGGAACCAAACAAAAACAAATTATACATAAAGAACACTAAGATGAACAAGTGTAAAACTCCTATTAATCAGTATAAATCTCTTTTGCCTAGGGACAAAAGCGGTAAAAAGTATTCCGGGGACAGAAGAGTGCAAATAAAAATGGGCCGCGGAGAGAAAGAACGCGAGTTAGAACAAAGCCTAATAAAGAGATTTGACGTGACGAAACTTCTTCTAAACACCGGCCGAACAAAGAATGAAAATGTAAAACCAGATTTCAGCCTTTGTGATATATTGAAACGGACTGATGAGACAAAAGAATTAAAAGAATTAAGAATTAGAAAGAAAGAGAGGATCACTCGTTGGGCCCTGCAAACCGTTAAAAGAACGAGAAAGCTTTGCAATAAAAAATAACATTTTTAAATTAATCCAACAATCAAAATTTTGGAAAAAAAAGAGGGTTCTTT